CCCAGGCACTTCTGAAAAAAAAAATCTGCTAATCTGTGTTAACTGGGCAACCCCTTATTTTGAAACAATAATCCCTAGTTCTAGATTCTCCCTCAACAATAAACCTCCTTTCCATATTCACTCTGTCAAGACCCCTCAGGTCTTGTATATGTCAAAGAAGTTGCCTCTTCCTTTTCTAAACTCCAGAGGCTACAAGCTTAGATTGTCAAAACTTTCCTTTGAAGACAATGCACCTATTTAAGATATTAGTCTAGCAAACCTTCTCTAAACAGCTTCCAATGTGTTTACATCTTTCCTCGAGCAGGGAGACGTTTCTGTTCAATTGCCTTTGCAATGTACAAAACATTCCATTAGCTTTCCTAACTAGCTGTACCTGCTTACTAACAATTACAAATCATGTAGTTGAAGACTCAGAACATTTTGCATCTCAGCATTTTAAATATTCTGCTTTTTTAGATTTCTTGTCAAAATACATACATTTTACACTTTTCCCATACTAGACTCCTTCTGCTAAGTCTTTATTTTTACTCACTTTTTATATTTATACCGTTGGAGCCTCCTTATATCTTCTTTAAAACTTATGGTCCTATCTAAATTTCATCAAATTTGCAGATCATACCATTGGTCCCTTCCTCCGCAGTTATGTAAATTGTGAACATTTGAGGTCTTAGCACTGATCCCTGTGATATGTTATATCACCACCTGTTATATCATACCAGCCAGAAAATGACCCATTTATGTCTACTCTGTAGTTCCTGTCAGTGAACTAATCCTCTTTGTGCCAATATGTTACCTCCTGCACCATGAGTTTTTATTTTCTGCAATAACCTTTTTGTAGAACTTTATTAAGTGCGTTCTAGAAATCCTAGTACAGCACATTCACTTGTATCCCTTCATTCGCAACAAACTATTCAAGCAATCCTAATAGGTTGGCTAAACATGATTCCTCTTTTACAAAACTATTTGAATCTGCCTGATTGCCTTGAACTTGCCTAAATGCCCTGCACTGGCAACTTTAAAAGCTTTGATCTTTTTCCATATGATAGATATTAAGCTAACTGCCCAGTAGTTTCCTGCTTATTTCCATCTGTTTTGAAATAAGAGACTTGCTATTTTCTAGTCTAATAGAAATAGTCCTTCATTGAATTTTGGCAATTTTGAACAATTAAAACCAATATTTCAACTTTCTCACTAGCCACTTCATTTTTAAACCCTAGGTTGAAGTCCATCAAGACCCACAACCCCAATAATTTGTTCAGTACCACTTTTCTGGTGATTGTAATTTTCTTGGTTTTCTTCCTCTGTCCCATTTCTTCAATTACAACTTAGTCTGGGATGTTATTTGTATCTACTTTAGTGAAGGCAGATGCAAATTATCTTTTTGATTCAACATGCTCTTGACTTGTGCCTTGTGGATGGTGGACAGAATTTGGGGAGGTAGGTGAGTTATTTGTTGCAGAATTCCCAACCCCTCATTACCAACTTCTTAGCCAGTCTCTTGGAATAGTGGATAACTTGCTTCCACTCCAGTTCCAGGTGTTTGGATGTGGGTGATAGAAACAGTGAGAGATCTACAGACTCTGCCGTGTGCAGGCAGGTAGTGTTTAAAGGGTTAGGTAAATGGTTGTTTGGAATTTTGCATACTCACTCTGAAACCCCATCTGCATCCCTGTACATTCCCAGTGAGGTCTTGCAGTGTGTTTGGTGTCTTCCAAGATAGGCATACCACATGCAGCCACACTTTTTACATGGTTAGTCTGGATCAGTTTCTTGTCTGTCATAACTCTGTGATATTGGTGGAATGGTTCCTGTGGTAACGAAATGAATGTCAAGCAGAGATGGTAGGATTGTCTCTTGTTGGAGATGGTCATTACCTGGTATTTGTTTGGTGTTAATATTAAATGTTGACAGGTGCAATGGAAATCAACCAATATCTGAAATAAATACTGAACTTTCTTTTTCCTTTCATGTTTAGACTGATTAGATTTGTGTTTCCATTATATTGTTTGTGTCACGTTTTGAGTATGCAGGTTTTTAAAAAATGTTATTGGGTATTATTTTTATTTTGATTGGGGCTGAAACGTGCAGTATAAATGTTTTCCCTTTGTAGTATTTATTTCAGTTTAAACAGTTTGAAATATAAACAATAGGTTTTGTGTGTACCCCAGTAGTTTTGTTTAAGGTAATGTGGTTTTCTTTTGCTGCTGTCCATTTCAGCAGTGAGTTCCATCTGGATGAAAGAAATTTTTCTCAACAGCCCTCCTTCTCCTAATTATTAACATCGAAGTACCATTCCTTCAGTGTCATTCAGTCAAAATCCTGGAGCAGTTTTGACAGCAGTGTTGTGGCGGTACCTACTATTAGTGTACTGTAGTTGCTTAGAATCTTTGCTCAGGTACGTCGACCCTTCCTGTACGCTCTGTATCTAAAAATATAATAAAATTATCACCCCAGAGTTGCATCTATTCTGAAGAAAACAAACCTAACCAATTCAATCTTTCCTCACAGCTAAAATTATTCATTCCTAGCCATATGCTTGTAAGCTGCTTTTTTGGGTAATCTTTCCAGTGTGGTCACGTTCTTCTTGTAATGTGCTGACAGAAGTGTATGCAGGACTCTATCTGCAATATAGCTAATGTTTTATAGTCTACTCTTTTAGGCCTTTTCAGTAAAGTGGGTATGTTTGAGAGGCAGGAATTAATGGGTATCAGGATGCAGTGTTGGAGGTTTCATTGCTATGACTTCATCAATAGGTGGAAGATATTTTCAACCTTTGGCTGAGGCTGAGTACTGCGAGGTAGTTGAGCAAACTGACAATGCCATTGTGATATGGAAAGTGATTTACATAGAGGAGTGTAAAAGTTTGAAGAGTCTGTTTCCAAATGAAAAGTCAGAACCTCAAAGGATATAATCTCTGGATTCTTAGCTTTGCCACACATGAGAATCATTATGGTACAGAAGAGGCCTTTCAGTCCATCAAGTCTACCACCAAAACGATACTAAATCTGCACTAATCCCACTTTCCAACTCCAGGCCGATAGCTGTCAATGTTATGACACTTCAGATGCTCATCCAAGTACATTCCAGATCCTCTACCTGCCTTTGGGTGAACTCATATTTCTTCAAATCCTCTCTTAAACCTCCTGCCTATTAAAGTGTGCCCTCTTGTCATTGACCCTTCAACTAAGAGGGACAGCTGTTCTCTATCCACCAGTTCGTGCCCCTCATAATCTTGTGCACCTCAATCAGACCCTCTCTCAATCCACTCTGCTCCGAGGAAAGCAATTTGAGCTTATCTGGCCTTTCTTCATAGCTAAAATGCTGCAAACCGGGCAACATCCTTCTGAATTTTCTCTGCATCGCCTCCTGTGCCCACTCATCCTTCCTATAGTGTAGTGACCAGATCTGCGTACAATACTTCACTTGTGGCTTAATCAAAAAGACTTGCACAGCTCCAACATACCATCCTGCTCTTATAATCTGTACCTCAACTGAGAAACACAAATGTTGCCTTGAGTACCCTTTTCACCTGCCCTGTTGCATTCAGGGATCTGTGGACAAACACAGCAAGGTCCCTCTGAGCTTCTTCGTATTCAGCCTTTGAGTACTTCCTTATCTTTTTACTTCTTCCAAAGTGCATCACCTCACACTTACGTAAGGGTTAAATTTCATCTGCCACTGATTTGCTCATTGGACCAATCTGTGTATATCTTTTCTGTAACATAAGATCAGCTTCCTTGCTGTCAACCACCTGGCCAATCTTCGTGTCATCTCCAAACTTACATATCTTCCGCTGCCCCACTCCCCAATCCCCAGCATTTTCAATGAGGTTGTTTACTTATGTCACAACAATAAGGGACTTGCCTCTGATACCTGTGGTATGCCACTGGGCATGAGCTTTCAGTCGCACAAAAACCCTCTATCACCACTCTCTCTCTCCTGCCCCTAAGCTAAATTTGGATCCAATTTGCAAAGTTACCCTGGATCCTGCGTTCTTTTACCACCATTATCATTCTTCCATTTGGGACCTTGTCAAAGGCTTTGCAAAAATTCATAAACTACATTAGCTGCACAGCCCTCATCAACATATTTGGTCACCTTCTCAAAATTCAGCTAGATTTGTTCATAATGACCTCCCTCTGTCAAGGCATGCTGACTACCTCTGATGAAACCTTCCTTCATTGAGTATATGATAGAGCAGATATGACACAAGTGGCTCAGAGTGATGTTGAAGGAAGAGATTTTGAGGAACTGTTGCAAAGCACAGAAGTGATTCTGAGGACTTGGCATGTTTTAGAAATGAGCAAATGGTGACCAACAAGTTGTTAAAGATTGAAAAAATAGAATCAGTGTAAATGAGGCAGATATAGCAAAACCAATTCTAAAGCTTTTACAAATATAGAAGGGAGAGAGTGGCTGAAGTAAATACTTTGGCCCCTCAAGCCAGAAACACACGAAATTATCATGAGGAACGAAGGAAGGGAAAATAATTTGTGACATACCAGAATTTGAATCCAATCAAGGGTCGAGTAAGGAATGAGGAATTCAGATTTTTTCTTCTATTAATTACTTTCAGAGAAGCTTGAAACAAAATGCTGATGAATTTCTAGGACCCAATTCCCTAAAATAGTGCATCTCTTATGAAATGTCTAGGTTCAAAGAATAAATTGTTGAACATGCCGGAGAAACATTTCACTCACTTTATGTTGAGATCTGTATGGCTTGCCAATCATATTTATTGATATTTGAATGCACTATTGTGCATTGTGGCTGTTGAAGTTTCAAAAAAAAAGACATTCTTCTGCAACAATAGGTTCATTTAAAATATTTTCTGTTTCTCCTTCAACATTGATTACTGTTATTAGTTTGCAGCGCTTCACATTGGCTTAGATGCGATATACAGCCAAGCTAAAAACAAAGAACTGCGGATGCTGGAAATCACAAACCAAAACACACAATTCCTGGAAAACTCAGCAAATCTGACAGCACCTAGAGAGAAGAATCAGAGTTAACATTTTCGGTCTGGTGACCCTCCTTCTGATTTCTCTCCACAGATACTGCCAGACCTGCAGAGTTTTAGCAGCAGTTTGTTTTTGATGCTACCAAGTTTGTTGATTAAGGCCATTACAGCTGAGCATGATACTTTCTTCACCAGATGTCAATGTCCACAAACTCTGCACCACAAGGCACTGATTAGCAGTTGAGTGTGGATTCTAGTTTATTTAAATTGCTCTTAATATTTTTAATTTGTTTTGTTTCTCTGAAATTATGTTGGAACAACTCATTCCCTACTTCGCACAAATACAAGAAATTCACAACATCTGTCAATTTTTTTTATATATGCCAATACCCGGCTAATTTATTGTTTGCACTTTGAAATTTCTAATCAACAGTTTATATTTTACGTGCTTGTATGAAATGTTCTAGGGCCTGACTTCCTTGTCAGGGATGTCGAGTGGCAAACAGCACTGGTTGTTTCCGAATGAGCTCACCATTTCCTTACTTGTGCTCGCTGCAAGTGAAGCTTTGCCCTTGGCTTATAATTGACTCATGTTTTTTTAAGCTTGTGCTTAAAGTGCTTTGAATCTTATGTGCATTTCACTTTATTACATAGTGGTGTGAATATGGAAATATTTTTAACCTTTGTTACACACTAATAACTATTAAGAAAAGCAACACATGACTGACTGAAGATAATGACATTTTGGGATATAATTCTTATAAAAACAACGAGAGGTAATTGCTGATTATGTAACCATTGCTGAAAAGTGGAAGATATGGATTCTGATGTTCAGTGTCACACATCACTGGTTCTTATTGTAATGCTGCAACACCTGAATTAAATGTAAAATATATTGTTCAGTTATGATGTCATTTTGTTTTCCAATTTGCTATGAGTTGGCTGTAACCTTGGGGTGAACTTCATATCAAAGTATCTCATTTCTGGTCATGCTCGTAAGGCACAGAGTTTAAATATCTTGCATGTTGATTGTGATTAGTTCATTCAAAGTTATGCATAGTATTCATTTTGCTGGCACCAAGGCTTTGCAGTATAGGATAGTGACGTTTTGTCAACTAACACTTTTCATCCTTTAACATGTGGAACTAATTTGCTGAAATCAATCAGTTGCTCGCTGCTTGAGCTTAAAATTAGTCTAAGTTACAATGAGTATAGAATTACATTTATTTCAGTTTGGTTTCAGTCAGTAAGCTAGTTGCACAGAACTAGCTACAACGGGTAACATTTTATTTTATTCACCATATTATAGAATGTCCTAATGGAGTGAAGGACCCCCTATTGTTCGACCATATCGGAGTGTGACCTGACGATTGCAGCCTTTAAGAGATGACCCAGTCTCGCATCACAGCATGATTGCTCTTTTTTTAAAAAAAAGCTTGAATCATAAGTGAAAAATGTATTAAAATGTATTATCTGCAATAAAAGTTTTATACATTTTGTCACAACCTTTTCAGTTCTCCTGCAATTTATCTTTTGTTGTGTCTTGTAACATACAATTGTACACTTCACCAAGACAGTTGAAGAGTATTTACTCTGGAAAATGTGGCTCTTTTGTATGACTTGATACAATTTAGTAACATGAAGTCTAAAATTCACAGTTGTTTCATCACTTCATCAAGCTGTTCAGTGGATTGATATTTTGATGTGAGTTGCATGGCATTTTAAATATAAAGTCTGCCCTCCCTCCTCTTCCCTCTCCATCCCATACTTTGGCTCACTCGCACTTCCTCTCTCTCTTCCGTGCCTTCCCTCTAATCATTTTGGAAACATAGAAGGAGATAATTTAGTCATTTGAGCATGTTTTGTTATTCATTTGGATTATGACTGGTCTGGAATTTAACTTCACTGTTCATCAAATAGATGTTTGTTCTGTATTCTTTACTCAAAATGTATCAGTCTTTGTTTTAAAATTTACATTTAGTTGAGCATCAGTTTTTGCAGCAGAATATCTCAAATGCCTACCACTCAATGCAGAAATGATCCTTAATGGCACTTGTGGCAGAGCTGACTACAGTTTTTAGATTGCTACCTGCAGAAATGGTTTTCATCAGTCTAGCTTTGCAATTCTCCTGAATATGTTGAACATTCACCCATTAACTCCCTAACCCCTCTCTGCCTCACTTTCCTTCTACCCCTCTATCTTTCCCACTCTTCTGTATGTGTCTCTCTGTCTGTCTCTCTCCCCTTCCAAGCCTCACCTGCTCATCCCCTCTCAGTTGATTTTTCAGAGAAGGAAGAAAATTTAGAGGTCTTTATTGTGAGTTGTCTAGCTAATTTGTTTAGGAAGTTATCAGCTAGGATGGTTCCATTTTCAGCTGCCACCTATATGTCCAACTTTACAAAACTTTTTAGGTTGAGGTTGTAGACTTGCTCGCTGAGCCGGTGTGTTTGATTGCAGACATTTCGTCACCCTCCTAGGTAACATCGTCAGTGTCTACGGTGAAGCGTTGGTGTTCTGTCCCGTTTGTTATTTGTATGCCTCGGTTTGCTGGGATAGTTGGCAACACTTCTGGTTCTGTTTTTCAGTGGTTTGTTATCAGATCCAGTTCAGTGTTTGGCGATGGAGTCCTGGTTGGGATGCCAGGCCTCCTGGAATTTCCTGGCATGTCTCTGTTAGGCTTGTGCTGTAATGTTTCTCACAGTCCTTGCATGGTATTTTGTATATTTACATTAGTTTTATTGGTTGTGGATATAAGATCCTTCACGTTTGTAAGTAGCTGTCGCAGGGTGGTTGTTGGTTTGTGGGCTACCCTAATACCTAGGGGTCTGAGTAGTCTCGTGGCCATCTCTGATATTTCTCTGATGTATGGTAGGGTGACTAGTGTGCCTTTTAAAAGGAATGGATACCGGAAAAAAAACACAATCCACTGTTACCTCCGCAATAGACCACAACAAGAAGACACAACACATCCAAACACACTCGTCACCCTACCGTAAACAGAGACACATCAGAGATGACCACAAGACTACTCAGAATAGGTATCTACCCTAGGTATCAGGGTAACCCACAAACCAACAACCACGATGCAACAGCTACTGATGAATGTAAAGGATCCCATATCCACAACCAACAAAACCAGCGTAATATACAATATACCATGCAAGAACTGTGAGAAACCTTACATAGGCCAAACTGGAAGAAAGCTGACAAGAAGCATACATGAACGCCACCAAGAAACATGACCAGTTCTCACTGGTCTCAATACACACAGACAAAGAAGGACACAAATTTGACTGAGACAATGCATCCATAATAACACGAACTAAACAGACATGCCAGGAAATTCCTGGAGGCCTGGCATTCCAACCGGAACTCCATCAACAAACACATTGTACTGGACCCGATATACAAATCACTGAAAAACAGAACCAGAAGTGATGCCAACCACCCCAGCAAACCAAGGCATATAAATAACAAGCAGGACAGAACACCAGTGCTTCACCAGAGGCACACTGATGGTGTTACCTAGCAGGGTGACGAAACGTCTACAATCAAACACACTGGCTCGGTGAGCAAGTCTACACCCTCATCCACAACTCGAGCTACAAATCTTCTCAAAAACTTTGAATACTTTAGGTTTTTTTAAATATTTTATCTGACACATTGGAAAATCGATTTGGTCAGTGCAATTTGGAATTCACAACAAGAACTTCCTTGTCTATCGGACTTTTTTTATAATGAATGTTTTTCAAATCAGATGAGCCATTCATGGGAGAGCTTCACAACCTTTGATTGGGAAAGCATAGTGGAATTTAGGACTTGTTTTATTTTAGATTACAGATTGTGAATCAGAATTCATTTCTTGAAGTGTTTTTCTTAACGAGCTGCTTTGTGAATAATTTGGTACAATTCAATTTGGTTTGGTAAAACATGTCCATGAAAATTGTTTAAAGCAAGGACTACTTGTAGGTGGCATAACCATTATACGCCTACAGTTGTATTTTGTAATTTTCCAACTAGCCTTGCTCCAATTAATGAACTGAATCACAGCTCCCAAACTATACCCTGGAACATAAACCAGGGTAAACTGCAGGCTTCCTGATAGTCAAGCTCAATGAAACTCTATTTTTATGACACGTTCTTTCTGCTATTAGCAGAGTAGCCATTCATTTAAGATAACTCTGCAAAAGCCATTACAGAGCTATTGCCTCTGATAGCAACACAAAGTAGGGAGTAAATAATGCTTTAAAGTTGGTCTGACTGAAATAGAAACTTCGGAGTTTTGAGTAAAATTAATGCAAGCTTATACTTAAAATAAGTGTGGTATATCTAATTAAAGATTAAATCCTTTCTTCCCAATAACTGTTTCTAAATTTTAAATTGTACGCATTGCAGAAGGAATATAATTGGTTGCAATTCATGAAGGTTCAGAAGTTTTCAACTTGACTACAACATTAACAGTTGCACCAGACACTGAATAAATGTGTTTGCAATGCACAGTGGTAAAGTTAAAGTGAATATCTAGATTTTTAATTTGAGATAAAATTATTCATATATGGGATTGTAAGAGCTGGCATTTAAATTGGAATTAATTGCATTTACTCCTTTAGTTGGCCATTAGAAATGATTAAGACAAATCCAAAGTGTTCTCCGAAGCAAAATTAGAATGTTCAGATGAATATTCATTCATTTTTGTTGCATTTGGTTCCAGTTCAGTGATTTGCTAAATAACTCTACAACTCTGCATTGCTGGAAAAAAAAACTTGTTTGAAGATTTTTGTCTTGTCCTCACCTGGACAATTCACAAGAACACCAGCCAAAAGGGAAACCCTTATTTATATACTGAGAGGAGAGTGCTGATTGATTAACCAATGGACGCTAATTCATAAAGGCATTCCCATAGAGAATGCACCAGTTAATGATAAATGACATTTAACTACCAAGTATATTTAAATTTTAAACCAGTTTGCGCCTGACTGGCCAGGGTGTTGCCCTGAGAATTGTGCCAGTGAGTGGCTGTTGTTCATTTTGCTGAGTTGAAATGGCACAGTGCATTTTCATGTTCTTTCTACAGTTTGCAAAGAACAGGGCACTGCATATTATATTTAGCTTCCAGAAAACACCGGTGTGTCACACCGTTGGTTTGACATGCCTAAACTACTTCTCAGCATGATGGTTTGCGCACTCGGGGTTATATGGCAAACATTGTTCAATCACAGAATCAAATCTGATATGGGACACTGAGTTATGCAAGCACAGTTGGTTGGGAATTGTTCGTACCTTGCTTGTGAGAGCTGGCAAAGGATATAAAAACAAAGTTGCTGGAAAAGCTCAGCAGGTCTGGCAGCATCTGTGAAGGATAAAACAGAGTTAACGTTTCAGGTCCAGTGACCCTGCCTCAGAACAGGCAAAGGATATTGTGTTTGACATGATCTGCCAGCCTAAAGGATATGAAGGGCTGCATAACTACTTTTATACTGGGCTTTGCTGGTTTAATCCTTTGGTCAAGGCATTGCCCTATCAATTGATTTTACTGGTATAATATCTTTAAAAGCTTTGCTGATATCTGTCAATTGTCATTGAAAAGCACATTCCCTATGGCAACATCTCTACCAATTAAAGTTCACTTATCAACCAGTTCTCCTGTTCTACAGTATAAATTTTGTTTTTCCTTACGTTGGTATTCTTTTGAATTGTTCTGATGGCAGATGAAAAGTTTCAAGAAAGTGTCCTTTTTCAGCAATAATCAAGTTCTGATTGTCTAACAACTGTTACGTTTCTGCTGAGTTGGGCACAAAACCCCACTTGGGAAAGATCAGACTCTTGAGCAATTTTGCAAGACAGATAATCTCTCTCCATTTAAATAAAACTTTATCTTATGTTTATTAACATTTATTTATAATGTCTGCAGTCTGATTGCAGTATAACTATAAAGATGTTGAATTCAACTTGTGTTAAACTATGTAAAAAAACCAAAAGAACTGTGGATGCTGGAAATCAGAAACAAAAACAGAAATTGCTGAAAAATCTCAGCAGATCTGGCAACATCATGGAGAGAAAGCAGAGTCAACGTTTTGGGTAAAGTGACCCTTCTTCAGAACTTCAGACATACTGAGATTTCCTAGCAATTGCTATTTTTGTTTGTGCTAAACTCTATTTGAGCTTTAACTTCATTTCTGAGAGAGATTTTCATGGCATTTTTTTTTTGTAGATATTGTGATTAATCGTTAGCTGTCAGTTTTATAATGAAATATTTAAGAAACAGTTTATCTGCCTTTCATCAATAAGACTGTTCTCTGTATTTTTGTATCTCTGTTCTGCGTCCATTAAAACTAAGCAGTTCTACAACTTTGTCATTCTCTAACTTCTGGCATTTAAGATTATAAAATCTCTCACTTAACTCATGCTTTCGCAAGTTTTCAAAACTGGAAGCACTTATCTTCCTCTTTTCTGCTGTCCTTAGTGATTAAATATTATAGAGATTAATAATATAATCATTGATCCAT